CTAAAGTTTACTATTTTGATAAGTGTTACGTGTTAAGTGTTAAGAATGGAATTATCCAAAATAGCGACAATATAGTAAATACTCCATCTGTGATCAACATTTAGTACTAATCTTTTAATCGCTTATTTTCACAGTTTAATTATCTCATTTAAATAATAAACAATAATTACGCAGAAACCATCATAAATGAAAATTGCAAATCAAACGGTTCTTCTTGGATATTTATGTTGGTTTTAATCCTAAACTTTCATATATTGAGGAGCGACATAAATCGAATCGAATTATTCAAATTAACGACAATAAAATAAATACGCCATCTGTGATCAACATTTCGTACTAATCATTTAATCGCTTATTTTTAGAGCTTATAAACATAATTAAGCTGAAACGATCATAAATGGAAGCTGAAAATGTAAAATTGATCCTGCATTAATCCTGAATATAATTAATGATGTATATAGTGCGTGCTCGTTTCGATATTATTGCAGGCACCATTACGTAATTAATTCATTAATTAGTTATTTCATAATTTTCATCGGATTGAATTCATCGTGTGCTCGTACATTTTAATTAATTGGATTTTAATCCGCATTCGATGCCGATCACGCAAAGTTCACGTACAATTTGACTAATTTAAAGTGCTTTGCAGACCAGTTTGTGCCGTCGCAGCATTCCAATTACTGCGGACATAGTTTAATTAATAAGCTCCATCGTTTAATTCAATATTTATTTAAGCACAGATGAAACATTTGCGGTTAGAGGGTGAGAGTACATAGCGAGAATTTCAACACGTTTGTCTACAGTTAATGTAATTTGTTCTTTGATGATAAGTTATGAATTTTGATATAAGACATTTAAGGAAAAATCTTATTTGGATTAATGAAAAAAAAACTGATTAATAATGGTTTAGATAGAAAAGTCTAATAATATTAGATAGAGAAAGTTTAGTGAAATTCGAAGTTAAAATCAGTTGTTCCACGTAGTAGTGTCATGGGTCTAATTACATAAAAAATATTACTAAAACTACGTAACTTTTCCATAAAAAAAGTATTAATTGAAACATACAAAGAAGATTAAAAATAATTGAACTATTTCAGTACAGAAGAACTATTAGTTCAAAATTTTCAATTTGTATTAATTAGTTAATAATAGGGAAAATGTATTTTTTTATGAGTTTCTTTTGTGTTAAAACTGTCAGTATAAAAGAACTATTAGTTCAATTGAATATGCAGAAATAATTCATATAGAAAATATCAATTTCATAAATATTTTGTAAAATTATATACTTCTTGAGAGTTTTATCATTGAAACATTTGAACTATTTAGTATAAATGAAGTATTCTAAGAATCAATTATTTTAGCTTCGCGTCATTATTTGAACGATTACAATACAAAATATAATAAGTATAAAATTATTTCATATAGAAAATGCAACAATATATTTCATATAGAAATTGCAACAATAAACAAATAGAATGAAAGAAGAGTCTCTTCTTCTATCGAAGTAATTGAAAAATTTTAATACAATTGAACTATTAGTTCAAATTTTTGTATAAGTAATAATTTCAACAATAAATGATAGGAAATTTGTTGAATTTTTAAAGAAACATTAGAACTATTAGTTCAAAGTATTTAGTCGGTATTAAATAGTTAATAAAATACAGTAAAAAATGAACTAATTTGATAACAAACGTAGATCATTGAAACTGTTAAACCAATTTACCGAATTGTTCGAACGGATCGAAACGAATGCATTTATCTCTGCCGCAAATCCGAACGTGTTATTTAATACTCTCGACTTTTCGACTCCGAAACACCCGATACCGCCTACTTGGTATTCAGCCGGAAACTCGATCAATTTGATTGCATTAGTTTCATGAGTTTTCGTGCTTTTACGTTCGTTCCATCCTTTCTTCTCTCTACCATCCTTTGTGTTCGCTTCATCCGCATTTTTCGTTTTTTGTCGTAGGTTTTAAAGCGGTCGCGCTTTCTCTTGCTGCACAAAAAAAAATGGGGTTGCATGTGGTGAGATCGTCCTCCTTCTTTTATTGAGGAAGATGTGTCACGACCACATCCACCACAAGCGCAAGTTTAAAAGCCTCCACCCCGGTCGATGCAGGAGGACTTTTACAGTGGTGCACCTGGAACTAACGTAATGGATCTGCAAAGATGATGAAAAGCCATCTTCGCATCTCCTTAATATCCACATACACGAGGATATTAATAACGTAGCTTTTGCCCTATTTTCAAACATTCCTCATCTCACTTCGCTCTCTCCTCTTACATGCTTTATTTCATGTAAAGTACACTATCCATCATAGATAAAAGCATCATTTGAGAAACGTCGCAAAGTGCAGCTTACTAAAGTTAAGCAACATATTGTATGAATAATATTCGGATAGGTGATTTCAGACTTCAGTAAATTATCAATACGTATTAGTAGATATATCAAAAGATACGCAATATTAAACCTCTTCCAATAAAATCATAAAATATATAAGAAGTTTTATAGTTATTACATAACATTAATTTGAGATTTTCAATAAATTGCGAAAAAATGATCAAATTTTAAAAACCTATTAAAGTGTAATGGTAAATACCTCAAACGTGAAAGTAGGCTCATTGAAAAGGCCATAGTTTTTTTCCTTAATATGTACTTTAAAGTATATAATTATAAAGTGAAATTATTGCGTAATTAACTGAAACGTAAAGACGTGTTTATTTTCTTGAAAAATCTTCATATTTTCGTCATTATATAACAATTTTTATACCAAAAGATGCGAAATAAAATACCTCTTCTCATTTAATTAGAAAGTATGGAAATTTTTGTACAGTTTAAAACTTTTGTGACAAAATAATTTCTTTTTATTTTATGATGATTTTATGTTACTAATTATATAATTATTAAGTGAAATTATTGCGTAATTAAATGAAACTTAAAAACGCGTTTATTTTCTTGAAAAATCTTCATATTTTCGTCATTATATTACAATTTTTATACCAAAAGATGCAAGATAAAATACCTCTTCTTAGAGAGTAAATTAAATTTTTCTATAGTTTAAAACTTTTGTGACAAAATAATTTCGTTTTATTTTCTTTTACTAAAATATCTTCAAATAGTTCAATTTCAGTTTCAATTGGAAATATCCATTTCCAGTTTTCATAAATGTAAATGGAATTGCAGTAGTTTGAAAAAAAAATTGTATTGTTTTTAGAGAAAATTAAATAGATTTCATTTACTAAAAAGGTTTTGAAACGTTCTTGAATATTTTCATATAATTTGTTATTTTCTCTGGGTTTCATAAAATTCCTGAATATTTAAGAATCATTATTCACTTTTCCAATAATACACACAACAAAAGGTATACATTTTCATTCAATTTTGTGCCAAAATACTGTATTGGATTTAAAAATTGTGATGAAAATCTGTACTGCTTTTTTCTTCTTTACCTTAATAAATCTAAATCGTTTCGATGTCGACGTCCTTCACGTTTCTCATTACCGCAGGATTATTTGATTAGAAATCGGATTTAAATTGATTCCTTTACCTCAAGCGAATCCGGTTAATTCCCGATGGATTTTCTCATCCACCTTCCACCAAATCTCCTTCAGTAATTGATCACAACTTTGTACATCTTTACCTTTGCTGCACTTCGATTAATCAACTTATTTCAATACAAATAAAATGTGTAAGATATACACAATTTCTAATAAATTTATGATTATTACTAATTATTTCTATGAATATTTCTATAAATAAATGAGAAATTAATCTTTCTCGTAATAAATAGAATTTTCTATTATTATTTCTATGATTTACGAATGTGTTTTGTGAAATAAGTCTGTTTGTTTTTATATGAAATAACGAGAATATGTTTGGTGAGGATAGGAGTTTGCTTGGAATGTGTTTGAATTCCACGGAGAATTTACGAGCTGTAAGCTTATGTGCTTATTGGACTACGTATTTTATGAAATATATTCTCATGCAATTCGCAGTTTACTTGCATAAATTTATCAATATTGTAACTTGTTCAAAAAATTGTTATTTTTATTTCAGTTTTTTTCTTAATTCTCAATTGATTTTTGTACATTTATGAAGATTCTTTGAAATACTAAATTACCTTTATTAATAAGCTTATATTGTAGCAATTTGATATAAAACTTGTAAAAAACAATTATAAAGAACTTAAATTTTCTCAACTTTTTGTGATAGTTATGAGATAAGTTATAAGATTTTTTTAATTAAAGAATACGAGGATCTATTAAAAACGTCTGCTACACAAAAGGCTTGTTGGAAAATAGCAGAAACTAATCTTTAATTACGACTGAAATTGTTTTCTCCGTGGACAAATTTTCTTCGTCCTTATTTACTTATTTCATCTTAATTTTTCGTTTTTCCCCATCTTGGTTCTCTCTCCTGCAGTTGCCAAGAAATAATTAAGAAAAATAAATCGTCTGCAAGAAAAAAATAAAGACGACGAAAACCAGGACGAGCTGCAATAAAAGTTGGGTGAAATCTCGACGACGGCGTGCGCTGTTGCAAAGGATTATTATCTTTCCTCTGTCCCTTATTTTCATCCTTATTAAGCATTAAACCGTCGGATTTAATAATAAACAGAAACTGTTGAGAGAAAATCAAGAGGAAACTTGCGTCACGAAAACGTCTGCCATTCGACATCTGATTTTAATTGAATCTCGATTTAGCGAATAATGGTGTTTGGAAATGCAGGTGAAACGTGCTAAAAATACGCTCTGTGCGGAGGTTAAGCTTTGTATCTTTGCAGAGTTTTGTTGTCAAGAAGTGAGCGAGGGCGAGGAAACAATGGTCGTCAAGGAAATGACGAAATGAAACATTCAAAGAGAGAGAGTTGCTATAGAAATGTGATCAATCGATTCGATGCAGGCATTTATTACTAAAACATTTCCTGAAGAAACAACAATTTCTTTTCATACAGTTTTTCAGAAATTTATATTTATCTTTGTTGTTTTTTTTTTTTCAGAGTCATTTGGAAAATATAATCGAACGTCCTGGAAGGATAATAGAGAGACACGCGCCTTTGAATCGACTGCAGAGCGACAATGTGAGTCCTGAAGATATGATGGATGGAGGAACAACCAACAAGTGCAAATTCACCACGATCTTCGAGCTTCGCGACGGCGGATCCAACACCTTAGTATCGAGGCCATCGTCGTTCGATCTCCAGTGCTCGACTTTAGCTCAGATCGCAGGATACGCGGCAAGTAGAGGACAAATTCTCAACATCGGCGACGTGCAGACGTGGCTCAACGAGCAGCACACGGAAGGAGATGCGGAATCTGCAAGAACAATCCTCTGTATGCCCATCATCAACGGCCAGAAGACCCTGATCGGCGTAGCTCAATTAATAAACAAAGCGAACGCCGTTCCTTTCACCGACTGCGATGTTTCCTTGTTCGAAGCCTTCGCGATCTTCTGCGGTCTTGGTATACATAACACGCAGATGTACGAGAACGCCTGCAAGCTGATGGCCAAGCAGAAGGTGGCTTTGGAATGTCTTTCGTATCATGCGACTGCCAGCAACGATGCGACGGAGAGGTTGCTCAAGGAGGATATTCCGACGGCGGATCGCTTCAATTTGTACAGTTTCACGTTCATTGATTTCGAGCTCAACGATGAGGACACGTGCAAAGCCACAATTCGGATGTTCCTGGAATGCAATTTGGTCCAGCAATTTCACATCCCCTACGACGTATGTATCTATTAATGTTTCGTATTCGATAATTAATCCGTTGGTAATACTACACATTTTTGTGGTATATCTCGAGAACCAGGATGAGTACATAGATTGTTCAATAATCAAATTAAAACTAATAATGTAGGCTTTAATATCTATACAAAATCATTTATAATTTTTCTGATATAAGCTGTCAAAATGGAACAAAAACAATAGAAATCTCGAAGAAGTAGTGTCTTCACATTTTGTTGTATATTTCGAAAATCATCAAGAGCACATATATTGTTTAAACATGCAATTAAAACTAATAATATGCGGTTTAAAATGTGCATAAATTCATATTTTTCATATTCATTGTTTGCATGTAATAAGCTGTCAAAGTTGAAACAACGTTTTTTTTCAATCATCGAAAATGCTGTGTCTTCACATTTAGTTATATATTTCTGGATTGCAGATGAGCACATAGATTGTTTAATAATCCAATTAAAACTAATAATATAGGGTATAAAACATGCGTAAATTCAGATTTGTGATATTCGTTGTTTGCATGTAAGTAGCTGTCAAAGTTGAAACAACGTTTTTTCAATCATCGAAAATGCAGTGTCTTCACATTATGTTGTATATTTCTGGAAACAAGATCAGCATATAGTTTGTTTAATAATCCAATTAAAGCTTATAGTATAGGGTACAAAACCTACACAAACTCATATATGTGATATTTGTTGTTTGCATGTAATTAGCTGTCAAAGTTGAAACAACGTTTTTTTTCAATCATTGAAAATGCAGTGTCTTCATATTTTGGTGTATATTTCTGGAACAAAGATGATCATATGGATAATTTAATAATGTAGTTAAAGCTAATAAGATAGGGTACAAATCTTGCATAAACTCATATTTATAATTTTCCTTGTTTGCAAGAAATAAGCTATCAAAGTTGAAACAACGTTTTTTCAATCATCGAAAATGCAGTGCCTTCACATTTGGTGTATATTTCTGGAAACAAGATGAGCACATAGATTGTTTAATAATCCAATTAAAGCTAATAGTATAGGGTACAAAACGTGCATAAAATCATATATGTGATATTCGTTGTTTGCAAGTAATTAGCTGTCAAAGTTGAAACAACGTTTTTTCAATCATCGAAAATGCAGTGCCTTCATATTTTGGTGTATATTTCTGGAACCAAGATGAGCACATAGATTGTTTAATAATCCAATTAAAGCTAATAGTATAGGGTATAAAACCTGTATAAACTTATATATGTGATATTCGTTGTTTGCATGTAATTAGCTGTCTAAGTTGAAACAACGTTTTTTTTCAATCATCGAAAATGCAGTGTCTTCACATTTTGTTATATATTTCTGGAATGAAGATGAGCACATATATTGTTTAATAATTCAATTAAAACTAATTATATAGGGTATAAAACATGCGTAAACTAAGATTTGTGATATTCGTTGTTTGCATGTAATTAGCTGTCAAAGTTGATACAACCTATTTTTTTTAATCATCGAAAATGCAGTTCTTTCACATTATGTTGTATATTTCTGGAACCAAGATGAGCACATAGATTGTTTAATAATCCAATTAAAGCTAATAGTATAGGATACAAAACCTACACAAACTCATATTTGTGATATTCGTTGTTTGCATGTAATGAGCTGTCACAGTTGAAACAACATTTTTTTCAATCATCGAAAATGAAGTGCCTTTACATTTTGTTGTATATTTCTGGAATTAAGATGAGCACATAGATTGTTTAATAATCCAATTAAAGCTAATAGTATAGGGTACAAAACGTGCACAAACTCATATATGTGATATTCGTTGTTTGCATGTAATTACCTGTCAAAGTTGAAACAACGTTTTTTTCAATAATCGAAAATGCAGTGTCTTCACATTTTGGTGTATATTTCTGGAACCAAGATGACCACATAGATTGTTTAATAATTCAATTAAAGCTAATAGTATAGGGTACAAAACGTGCAAAACCTCATATATGTGATATTCGTTGTTTGCGTGTAATTTGCTGTCAAAGTTGATACAACGTATTCTTATTCAATCATAGAAAATGCAGTGTCTTCACATTTTGGTGTATATTTCTGGAACCAAGATGACCACATAGATTGTTTAATAATCCAATTAAATCTAATAGTATAGGGTACAAAACATGCGTAAACTCAGATTTGTGCTATTTGTTTTTTGCATGTAATTAGATGTCAAAGTTGAAACAACGTTTTTTCAATCATCGAAAATGCAGTACTTTCACATTTTGTTGTATATTTCTGGATTGAAAATGAGCACATAGATTGTTTAATTATCCAATTAAAACTAATAAAATATGCTATAAAATAAACTTAAAGTCAGCTGACAAACATAATTTGTCTTGCAGGTATTGTGTAGGTGGATTTTGAGCGTGAAAAAGAACTACAGGCCTGTGAAGTACCACAACTGGAGGCACGCACTGAACGTCGCGCAGACGATGTTCGCAATGTTCAAGACTGGAAAGATGGATCGTTTCATGACCGACCTGGAGATCCTCGGCCTGCTGGTAGCTTGCCTCTGCCACGATCTGGATCACCGCGGCACGAACAACGCTTTCCAGACGAAAACCGAATCCCCGTTGGCAATTTTATACAGTACCAGCACCATGGAACACCATCATTTCGATCAGTGCGTGATGATCCTCAATACGGACAGCAATAATATATTTCAAGTAGGTACGTTTTTTTTTAAATTAAATTTACAACGAAATTAAATGATATAATTAACATTTCCAATTGAAATTATTTCATGATTACCATTACTATCTAGACCATAGATTCCCAAACTGTTTCTACCTATAATGAAATAATTTCAGGATTTACTGAAAAAGTTTGGGAAACCCTGATCTAGACTATAGTAGAAGCAACGATGCAAGATGAAAGCTTTATTCATTGAAATAAATATTAATTAGTTTAAACTGAAATTCGGTCGACTGGATTACATTACATCATTGTGCTTTGTCAGCAGAGAATTAATGAAGTGTCATTTCAGTCGCGCTCATCAAGTGCACTCAAAATATGAAACTCTCTCTCACTGCCGCACTGCTGTCTCTGAACATTTCTATAGTTGCGATTGTAAGCGTTCGAACTACAAAGAGGGGACAGCCAAGTTTACTCACAAGTCCATTAATTAGTTACGTAAAGCTTCTTGCTCGAAACGAACAAAGCATGCAAAAGCGTACAAGCTTAATTAGATTTAACTTGCACTTGCATACAACAATGCGCCATTCAGATTTGTTACGTGTCCATCAAAAGCATTGTTCATTTTGTATCTGTATTTTGTAACAAATCATTTATTTTTTTGTATTAAAATCAATACAAATTGAATTATTTTGAGGACATTCAGCAATGTTCGTTTTGGATTAAATTCATTGTTAGAAATTACATTTTACTAAAGTATTTGGAAGCAATACTAAAGATTATATGAAAAGCATTAATTTTCTTCTTCGAGATTAAATTTGGTATACAAATTACATTACAAAAAATTGTATTTGAACTATTTAGATCAAATATTAACACTGTTTTTTTCTCTATAATGTTTAGGCCTTATCACCTGAAGATTACAGGAGAGTCATGAAGCTAGTAGAAACGGCAATTCTATCGACGGATTTGGCCATGTATTTCAAGAAGAAAAGCATGTTTTTGGATCTCATCGAAGACGGCGAATTCGATTGGCAGAGCGACGATAAGAAGGAACGTGAGTTGTTCTTTTCCTACTAGTTTTTCAGTATGTTTTTTTTTATGATGTACATTTCTAGTTCTTTCTGGTATGATGATGACCGCTTGCGATGTGAGCGCAATTGCGAAGCCTTGGGACGTCCAACACAGGGTGGCAAAGCTCGTCGCCGACGAGTTCTTCGATCAAGGAGATTTGGAAAAGATGCAACTCAAAGAACAACCTGTTGTAAGTATACATTTTTGTATGTATTAATTAACTTTTGTGTAGTAAATTATGTTGTATTAGTGTTTCTCAACATATTGATAGAGAAATGACAGCTGTCACCTTGTGTCAAAACTAGGAATTGGTGGAATACTCTTAGCAATTGGGTACAACTATGAACAAATATGTTGTTGAAAGGTTGAGAAACATTGATATTATATAATATTATTCGCAACTTGTAGATTTAATAGATAAATTCAGTAGATTTATATGAATCTGTTGTGAAACTTGTAATCCTAATGATCTCAAAACCAATTTGAAAACGTCTGAATAAGCAAAGAGATAATACCAGTTTTAGCTTTGGTTTCTGCTAAATCTTTGCATTTTTTATTTTTTATTGATATATATATAACCTGATTATGTCTTTAATTTATTAACGAAAATCGTTTTTTCTTCATAGTTAAAGCTATAAAATGTCAGAGTTTCTCAATCTATTAATAGAAAAATGACAGCTGTCACCTTGTGCCATAGCTAGGAATTGGTGGAATACTCTTAGCAATTAGGTACAATTATGAACAAATATGTTATTACAAGGTTTAGAAACATTGGTATTATATAATATTTTTCGCAACTTGTAGATTTAATAGATAAATTCAATAAATTTATATGAATATGTGGTGAAACTTGTAATCCTAATGATCTCAAAACTAATTTGAAAACGTTTGAATAACCAAAGAGATAATACCTGTTTTAGCTTTGGTTTCTGCTCAATTTTTGCATTTTTTTATATTTAGTTGATATATAGAACCTGATTATGTTTTCGAGTTATTAACGAAAATCGTTTTTCTTCTTAGTTAAAGCTATAAAATTTCAGAGTTTCTCAACCTATTAATAGAGAAATGACAGCTGTCACCTTTTGTCAAAGCGAGGAATTGCTGGAATACTCTTAGAAATTGGGTACAACTATGAACAATTATGTTGTTAAAAGGTTGAGAAACATTGGTATTATATAATATTCTTTGCAACTTGTAGATTTAATAGATAAATTCAGTAGATTTATATGAATCTGTGGTGATACTTGTAGTCATAATGAACTCAAAACCAATTTGAAAACGTTTGAATAACCAAAGAGATAATATTTGTTCTAGCTTTGGTTTCTGCTCAATTTTTGCATTTTTTATATTTAATTGATATATAGAACCTAATTATGTTTTCAAGTTATTAACAAAAATCGTTTTTTCTTCATTGTTAAAGCTATGAAATTTCAGAGTTTCTCAACCTATTAATAAAAAAATAACAGCTGTCATCTTGTGTCAAAGCTAGGAATTGGTGACATACAATTGGGTACAACTATGAACAAATATGTTGCTAAAAGGTCGAGAAACATTGGTTTTATATAATATGTTTTGCAACTTGTATATTTAATAGATAAATTCGGTAGAAATGACAGCTGTCACCTTGTGTCAAAGCTAGGAATTGGTGGAATACTCTTAGCAATTGGATACAACTATGAACAAATATGTTGTTAAAAGTTTGAGAAACATTTGTATTACATAACATTTCTCGCAAATTCAGTAGATTTATATGAATCTAATTATCTCAAAGCCAATTTGAATACGTCTGAATAAGCAAAGAGATAATACTTGTTTTAGCTTTGGTTTTGGTTTTGTTTGAATTTTTTTATTTTTAATTGATATATATTCTTCATAGTTACAGCTATAAAATTTCAAAGTTTCTCAGCCTATTACTAGAGAAATGACAGCTGTCACCTTGTGTCAAAGCTAGGAATTGGTGGAATACTCTTAGCAATTAGGTACAACTATGAACAATTATGTTGTTAAAAGGTTGAGAAACATTGGTATTATATAATATTCTTCGAAAATTCAGTAGATTTATATGAATCTGTTGTGAAACTTGTAATGTAATTCTAATGATCTCAAATCCAATTTGAAAACGTCTGAATAAGCAAAGAGATAATACTTGTTTTAGTTATGTAAAAGCTATAGAACCTGATTATGTTTTTGAGTTATTAACGAAAATCGTAGTTAAAGCTATACAATTTCATAGTTTCTCAACCTATTAATAGAGAAATGACAGCTGTCACTTTGTGTCATAGCTAGGAATTGGTGGAATACTCTTAGCAATTAGATACAACTATTAACAAATATGTTGTTTAAAGGTTGAGAAACATTGGTATTATATAATTTTTTTTGCAAATTCAGTAGATTTATATGAATCTGTTGTGAAACTTGTAATGTAATTCTAATGATCTCAAATCCAATTTGAAAACGTCTGAATAAGCAAAGAGATTATACTTGTTTTAGCTTCTTGTTTCCGTCCAATCTTCACAATTTTTATATTTAATTGATAAATAGAGTTGAGATTTATGTGCACTGAAACTGGTAATCCCAAAGCAATTTAAAATCGCCGAAGTAAGCTTCTATAAAATCTACTTTTTTTTTTCTTCTTGTGTTGACTTTGATTCCGGATAATGGCTTTTTCCCTTCAAACCGGAACTTTATTACGCGTGGACGGAAATGCGGAGCGAGAGAACCGTAATAATTCCCGATCGAATCGAATATCTGTTTTTCAGGCGATGATGGACAGAGAGAGGAAGGACGAGTTGCCCCAAATGCAGGTCGGATTCATCGACGTCATCTGCCTTCCACTGTACCGAGTCCTATCCGATACATTCCCATGGGTGGAGCCCCTTTATCAGGGCACAGTTGAGAACAGGAAGCATTGGCAGGATCTGGCTGAAAAAGTCGAGATGGGTTTGACCTGGATCGACCACGATACCATCGATAAACCAGTCGAAGCTTTTACCGGTATAAAAAAACAAACAAAGAAGAAACAAAGATCAGTTTGTAACTTTATTTTTTGATTTACAGATCCTGAAGAAACGAAGGATATCGAGTTAACAGTTCAAACTCTACACACGGTGCAGCCACCACCGCAGATCAATCAGAAGATGAAGAGGAGACACAAGATCTGCACGATGCTGTGACACTAGTTGCTGTGACCCATTTCAGAATCAAATAATTCGTGTACATACTTGTTTTTTTTTGTTATTGATTTATTTTTGATGAATTACTTTTTGGGAGAGAGGTGCGTTGCTCATATACAGAGTGTTTCCCTTCATTAATTGGATTGGATAATTGCAAGTGATGAAGACGTTCACGTAAACTTCACTTTCTTCGAAGTACTTTTTTGTTGTTATTGGTTTTTCGTGTGGAAGCATAGCATGTGATATGATATAAGTCATCTATTTTTTTGTTTTTGTTTGTCTTTCGTTCCGAAGAACCCGCAGTAGTTTTACATGTATACAGTGCATAGGGTATACCAGTATTTTATGTATAGACCTTAGACCTAAACCTAAACAGAAACTAATAATAAACTAAAAAATAAATATATATTATGTAAACCAGTTAAATGTAAGAACTGTGAGTGTGCAGACAGTTAAATTTTTTGGCGTGTTTCATGCGTATACTAAATATGTTGCATTATTGAAGGAAGAATAAAGCTGTTGAGCTTTATTTTGATTTTGTTCAGATCATCTTTACATCCATCTCTTCACACACACAAACACACACACAAAAAAAAAACTTTTTGTAAACCAAGCAATAATACACCTATGATCTTTCATTATATTTAAAAAAAAAGTAACATATAATAATAAGTAAATATATATTCTACATATATATATTATTAATAATAATAATAATCAAAAAAATGTACTTATTGTAAACAAATATGTAATGAACACTCTGTATATAAATATAATGGGTTTAATAATAATAATATAACGATAATATTCTTGTAATCATGTTGGATTATTCTCAATAATTTGTATAAGTGAACTTACACACCAAACACACACGCGACACACGTTTACACAAAACACAGAGACACGAGTTTGTATAAATTGAAGGAAAATAAAAACGCAATACGATGCATTTATTTATTATTTTTTGTCCTATAAAAATATCCTAATTTCATAATATTTCATTAATTTTGAAAACGATAAAATTCTTAACATTTTCAGTAAAAATCAATGTTAGAAATATTTCGGTGGGTTCATTCAGTCTCTAGTTTACGATTCATGTTGAATTATTTAATTATCTTGCATGCTTATCTTGAAATTGATACAAACGTGAAGAAGGTGCATTTTCAGCTTCTACACGTTTCACACCTTGTAGAGGATGACTGGATCAAAGCATGTAAATTCATTGGAAAGGTGAATTTTTTTAGCTTTAATATGTATCTATTATAATCTATGTATCTTATGTGGTTGTTGAGTTATGCAAGAAAATGTAATGACATTGAAAAATAGTTGATTACAAAAGTTGGTTGCCTGCAATGTACTTATTTGGAAAATTTTCAGGATCTTTCAAAATCGAAATAACGATGCTAGAATTGTATCAGCGGGCTCCAGTTAACGATTCTTGTTGAATCTCAATCTTTAAATTGAGTGTAAGATTATGTAATTTTCTTCAGCTGTTCTTGACTAATTCATATAGTAATTATATATCATGTTTTGTCCTATAAAAAACATACTAATTTCATAAAATTTCATTAATTTTGAAAACGATCAAATTTTTAACATTTTCAGTATATATCAATGCTAGAAATGTTTCAGTGGGTTCATTCGAAAGGTGGTAGTCTTTAGTTTACGATTCATGTTGAATTATGTAATTATCTTGAATGGTTATCCTGAAATTAATACAAACACGAAGAAAGTGAATTTTCAGCTTCTACACGTTTCACACCTCGTATCAGACGACTAATTGATAGCACGTAGATTCATTGGAAAGGTGAATTTTTCAGCTTTAATATGTATCTATTATGATATATGTATCTTATGTGGTTGTTGAGTTATAAAAGAAAATGTAATGATGTTGAAAAATAATTGGTTACACTCGGTGTATATTTGGTTGCCTGCAATAGACTTATTTGAAAAACGAGAAAATTTCAGAATCTTTCAAAAACGATGCTAGAATTATATCAGTGGGTTCATTCGAAAAGTGATAGTTTCCAGTTTCCGATTATTGTTGAATTACGTAATTATCCAGCATGGTTATCCTGCAAAAAAAACCTAAAGAAGTTTAATTTTCAGCTCGTAGCAACTGAAAGGATGAAAACAGAAAGCTCTGTGTAGACTCGTTGTAAAGATGAGACTTTCAGCTTTAAATTGAGTGTAAAGTGTTGTAATTTTCTTCTTGAGTAATTCACTAAAACTGAAGACATCGAAAATCTTCGTTTCTCGGTTATCTAATGGACATTACCTATAGTAATCAATAAAAACAATCTGATTATGCAACAAAATTGTTAAAAAGTTCATTACTTTTTGAGTTATTAACGAAAATCGTTTTTTTTTTCTATCAAACTGCGATTTTAACACAATCCAATTGGAAATTGTACAAAATTATCGGTAATTTTCAAGCACTCTGAAAATTGAAATATCATTTAAAACGGCTCATTCGAAAGATGGCTCAGTCTAAATAGTATTATTTTTGTTGCATTACGAAATTATCGTACGTGGTTATCCAGAAAATAAAATAAAAAACTTGAAGAGGTAACATTTTCAGCAACGTCACATTTGACAGCTTGAAGATGAACGGATGATAGCAGAAAGCTCTGAGTGAGCTAGTTGGAAAGTTGAGACTTTTAGCTTTAATTTAAGTGTAAGATGATGTAATTGTCTTCAGAGGTTCTTGAGTAATTCACTAAAACATAAAAAAATCGTCGATTCTCGGTTACGCAATGTTCATTACTATAAGAAATCCTCGTATCAATAAGAAATCTCAAAAAATCAATGAAAAATCAGTAGGAAATCCTATAGTAATTAATACAAAAATTCTATAAAAAGC